AGAAACAAATTATGGATTTTTACAATGCAATTGTAATGAAGGTAATGTAATTTTGATTATTAATTATATATTTTTGATTATAATTATAAATTAATTTATTTAAAAACAAGATAATATTCTAACAATAAATTTTTTGTAGGTATCATATGCTGTAATTTAGTAATAATGAAACAAAGTAAGATTTATATAAGGTAAAGGAAGATTTTCTCTTTACTATATTTTTTACATTTCTATTGAATTAGATTGGCAATTTTTTAAAATTTGCAGTAAAGTTTATGGTAAAGTTTGTAGTGAAGTGAATGCAGTAAATTTGTAGAATTTATGCTCTAAAAAGTTTTAAATATGGTAAATTGTATTATAAATTATTTTTAGGAGTCGAGAAAGAAAGAAAATCTAACTTAGTTCAAACGTCTGACTTGACGGTTTCACGATAGTTTGCTAAAATAAATGATTCATCGGAAAAATTCACGTCGATACACCAGTCACGAGTAGATGGCTCATGTCGACGAACGGATCCTGAATTAACCACGAAAACGAGAGGTTAAATAAGCTGCCCAGTCACGTTTTGACTCTTTAACGCGACCGCAACCTTTACAGATGCTACATTATAGCAACCTTTCGTAACTGACATGTAATTATCGAACCAATCGAGGCTGACTACACCTCTGGCTAATTCGTTAACGCCGACGACCGGTCGATACCAGGTGTTTCGAGTATCGGCCAGCTTTACCGAGAATGAGGTAACGACCTCATCGACGATCCTTTTCGTTTCGCGTGTAATTGACATCCGGAATCGTCAGCTAATATACGAATAGGTATATTGTTAATTCTATAGAAATTGAATAGGATGAAATATCTTTTTATACTTTTGAATATCTCGAACTGTCTTTCAAAGTAGTATTTTTGCTTCGTTTGAAAAATTCTTTTGCAATTATTTATGCGACGATGTAATATAAGGAAAAATAGAAAGAAGAAGAAAAAAGGAAAAAGAGAATCCAAAGGTGAAGTCAATTGTAAAATTTTTTTAGTTGTCTATGCACTTTTCTAAAATATATAAATATAGAAAATAATATAATTTCTCGATAAACGAAAAATATTTTCGAAAAGAAACTTAATTCAATCTGGAAATAAGTAACACAAGTTCGCAGAAATTAAATCAGTGAATGTAGTTCTATGAAAGAGATGATTAGATGAACACTTTCAAGAACTTTTGCTAACTTAATTAAAAAGAATTCAAAATTCTTCTAAATAATTGAAGTTCTTTATACTTATATACTAGAACATAATTACAATTTAAAATGTACTCTGGAATATTAGAGTATTGCTAAATTTTGAGCGCTTCTTTCAAAATATCTACTCTAATTCTAATTTCTTCCTAAATTTAAATTACAAAAATTTTGCGTAACTTTGATACATCCAATTATTCTCTACACTCAATTAGAGATCCTCGATACAAAATTATATAAACCATTCGACGAACTCCTTTGTGATTATCTTTAATCTTTGAAACAAATTTAATAATGGAAACAGTTTATAATTATACATTTAATAGAATTCTCTTTATTATAAAATTACAATAATAAATATATAAAATTAATTTGCTCGCTATCAAGTTTTATTAATAACGTTACATTAATTGCCTTAGATGATCGAATCAACCAGGCTTCCTAAAATCATCTTTACGCGTACCAGTAAACCATATTACGACAATCATCTAGACAACTGTGGGACAGGAGTGGCTCGTTTTCGAAGCAAGATGAGACAGAGTTAAGCAAATGGATGTAATTCCTAATGGATAGAGCGTTAGACAACGTTCCCCGGTCGGGATGAATGTTAATATCTGCTCGGGGACGGAATCGCAAAGTTTTCAATTAACGGTGAGGTAAGCGGGAATTAGAGTGGCCGAGGGAAAGCTGCAGACCCAATGACTCGCCTCTTGTGGGATTACGTCCCTTCTCTCGGCTATTGGACAACCATGTGGTCACCATAACCCATTATTCAGAGATAACACTTTTCAACGTTTAGCTTAATAACGAAAATAACAAGGCGACAAGGTATTCGAGAATACGATATCAACAAATTTCTTTTCCTTTTTCCAGAAATTTTTAAACGTCACGACGTTGAAGAGGATCAAGAGGATGAAGATCGTTCTCTAACGAGGCACAACATCGCTAATGCAATTGGATAATTAAAAGAACGAATCGTGAATCGCGTTTCTCTTAATAATAGCCATGGATTCGTCGAATATTCCTCCGACTGACGACGCGGCACGTATAGACTAAACTCGTAAGACGTGACATCAGATGTTGCGCCATTAGGATTCCAAAGGACACTTTGGAACTCCGCCGAGAGTTTCCGGGATGCATGCAACAATCGGATTGGATTACTCGCTCGAATACTCGAGATGTACATCCGTGAGTGACGAGAGGATATTGTGATCGAGTTTGAAGGATTTGGAGAGGGGCGAACGATATTTAGCGGCGGAGTTGCCTATTAAATACAGCTACCTCTAATCCTTAATACCTCTGTGAATCCAATCTCCCGTTTAAATTTAGTCGGAGTATGTGATATCAAAATGGGGTTAAATACCAAGTGTCGGTATAATACACTTAAAAAAAAGATTCATTCGAATTTCTCTAATTATATAAGATAAAATTCAAACGTCTGAACAGTCTGAATCAGACTCTTAAGTGTAGAGCTAGACTCATCCGGGTGAAAGATTTCAAATCGCGGCCCCAACCCATTTCCAGCATGTAAATTTTGGTACGTGACCCGAGTCTCACCAATATCATGGAGTACGACTACAATCTGGAACCAGGCATCTTGGATATTTTCGATACATATTAGGGCAAATGCTATTTCCATACAAAATCATACCCAATATCGAACCAACACCAATTCCATCGATAACGATTTTCATGTCAAAGACGAAAATCTTGAGGGAAAAGATAGGAGAAAGATATATATCTGGTATCTCCTCCTCTTTCCCCTTCTCTCCCCTGATCCTTCCCTTTGAACGCAATTTCAGTCTCCTTAATGGTATTGCGGAAAGATAGGGCGATATTTCACGACGCGGACAGACCGGCTGGTTGGTTAGCCTGGCCTTGCCTTGCCTTGCCTGCCATCGCATCGCATCGCATCCCTCCAACGTTTATGACACGGTTTTACAGAATCCACGGCGATAAGATCCAGGCGAGAATTGTGAATCAACTGACAGCGGATAAACTCGGGGAAGGGTGGAGGAGGGTGGCGGATGCGCAAGTGGATGAAGGCGCGGGAGGGAACCTTCAAGTTTATTAAGATTAAGAAGTTCATTCGTGGTAATTCCGAGTGGAGGGTATATACCGGTGTACCTCGACCGGCTTTTCCTATCTTCGAGAAGAAGAGACGGAACTCGGATGGAAGCAGGGGGAAGGGAAGGGTGGAGAAGATAGCTAGTAGGAGTACGTTTCCCTCCTTCCCCTTCCCCTGGAACAGGCCGAAAAGGTATTATAATTATTTCACGAGAAACTGGGATTATTAAAACGGAAACAGACGCCTCTCCCGGGGAAAAACAGGCTCGGTTGGAATGTATTACCCTCACGGTGAAAACTTTATCCCATGCCCGCCTCGTTTCCCTGATTTTTGGCGGAAATTTCGCGTCCCTTTTATCTTCGCCCGGCCAACTTTCTCCCTGGGAAACGAAGAAAGAGAATTCTAATAGAAATGGAAAATGAGAAACGGGAAGTGGAAATTGAACACCGCATATTTTATGAGTATCCTCGCGGAAATTCGTGTAACTTTTGATTGTCTGATTCGAGGATTGATTCGCGTTTGAGAAAGGCCGAATTGTCGGATCTTACAAGGCAAGGTTGAAAGTTGTACGAAGCGAAGAAGTGGATCTCGATCTTGATCGCCACCAGTATTCGTAGTTGCCTCGATTTGCCAATGTTTGCAGGATGGCGTACGTAATTTCGATAAGAGAGAAACGATAAATCGACTCGACTTTAGCTAGCAGGTATCTATCCACGGCGTTGGTAACAATCGTAATTCCTTCAATTTCCTCCGAGTTCCTCCTCGAAGAGGAGGAGGTACATAAACATTTCCGCGATTGAAAATAACGACTCGACCCGTGTTACCGTGTTATTCTCGCCGTGGTTTAAAATCGAAGACGCTAGCAGGGTTGCCTTGCTCGCTGCGCGATTAATAACACTTAGGTCGTTCACGAAGGGACCAGGCTCGCCCGTGTCTACCGATATTTATTAGAATTTAGTGGGTGGCCATTACTCGGTACCCGGGACCGCTTCTAAAAGGCGCAGCTACGCGATCGTAACTGCAAGAGTTCCAACGAGCTTGTTCCCGACCATTTCCAAGGTAATTGTGACGTACGAGCCGGTTCCTCGCGCGAATTATCGTGTCGTAGAATTGTCGTTTAGGGATAGGGCAAACGTTCACGTCCGGTCTCAACTTCAAACTGGAGCGCAGCGTGGGACGTGACGTCCCCGTTGAATCGTTGTTCACCCGAATTCTACCCCATCTTGTGTTTACTTCGGATGATTCAAAGATCCGCTCGATCTTAAATCTAAGAGGCTAGTTCGAAACCGTGTGTGCGTAAGGGAGTTGGAAAATTTTTGGGAACAGCCCGATACGTAAAGAGGAACGTCTTAAAGCGTTCCGTATGTATGGCGAAATACAGAAACGGCGATTCTTGCAATCACAATTGCTTCATCCGTTCCTATTCTTTGCCGCTTTCGAGCTTTCACGTTTGGAATAAGGCCGAAGCCGGCAAAAGGATCTGACAATATTCCTCGAGAAAAGCGGGTGGAAGACTTGAAAAGTTCCAAACAATTCTCTCTACACGACCGGTAGTATTTTCCAAGAGACGAGGGGAGGGGGTGGTATCGTTACAATGGCACAAAGGGCAACGGTATTCCGCAAAAACGCGCAAACAAAAATTTGCATTTCACCGAAACAATGAAATACACGCAAGTTCATTCTTTACACAGGTTTCTGGAAGATGGAGCTCTCCTTCCTCCCCGCGTAGTTTTATTTCACCGCTCTATTATTTGCTCGTATTTTATTCGCCTCTGTGTGTACAACCCGGTATCGATCGGTATCTCGTTCCTGAAATACACGAATCGAAAGAAATTGCAATTGTTTCCAATGTCAACTATGGATAGTATAGAGATAGGATAGTAGTAGTGGTGATAGTAGTCGAGGGTAGACGTCGTGCACTTAGTTACACATAGTACATAGAAACGCTTTAACGTATTAATTGTTTCGCAGGCGGAATTTTTAATTGGTCCTCGTGGGTGCTCATTAGAGCAACGCGAGAGCCAACGTGAACGTCGTTGGAATTAATTAGACAAGCCAACCTTATCTGGCCGGTATCAGTGGAAAAGCATAATTTGGCGCCGGTATCGAAATTGTTCGAAGACACGGAAGTTGGCCGATCTCTTTCGAGACGGCTACTTTGCAATTTCGTTAAGTGGAACACTTTCAACCGTGTGTACCAACTTTTTCGATGGAATTACTTGGCTCGTCTAGGCCAACTCTTTAATTTTCATCCATAAACTTCGACGTTTCCCACATTTTAGCTTTCAGTCTCGCCAGCCAACCTGCCTGCTCAACTTTCGACAACTTCGACTCGTGATGCAACCGCGATCTGTTTTGCAAGTAAAGAAGAAACGGCCGATTTTTCTTATTATAGGATTCGCGGGGATGGTTCGATAACGATTGGCTTCTCTTATTTTGACGTAGAATCGGCATACAACTTTGAGATTATTTATTTTTAATATCCCATCGTTTTTCTCCATCGGTTAAGAAATCAAATTGATCACCGCGAGGCGAGCGACGTTACAACGTTTTAACTCGGTAAAAAAAAAAAAAAAAGAAAGAAAGAAAAAAAAGCAGTAAAAGTGCGTTTTACCAGTTACTAAAAGGGCCATTAAATATCCATGAAGTTGAACGTCGGAACGATAACGCGGTACATTTCTGGAAGACTGAAGTTCGAACGGCTGTTAATTAACTCATACCGCTTGCTAACCTGCCAGTAATCCACTTTGCTGTTACTAGTTACGGCGTCCGGGACCCTGTAATGCGCCTTTTATTGCGCGTCCGCGTGAAATTTCATGTGGTAAAATTATAAATTAAATTTTCAACTGAAAATTTTCATTCTCGGGAACATAATTTTTGTCAACATTATGCATGCCTCGAATTAGACTTTATAAAATATGGTTGGATTCAATAACAGAAACGTGAATATCGCGCATAATTTTTTCATTTCGTTATATTTTTATTCCGTTGCGCTATAAATATGCGCTTACAAATACAATAATATTTATCGATCTGAAATCGAACGAATATATTATCGACAATTCTTCATTTCCCGATGAAATTCAAACTTGCACGATGTATCGCGTAACTCGGAACAGACAATGCAGTAGCAAATTTCCATTAAGGAAAAATTAAATATAAAAGCACACTTTGTATTCGAACGATTCATTTGCAAAAGAGTGGAAGAGAGAGAGAGAGAGAGAGAGAGGAAGACCCGCCATTTCCCAGTTTTTCATAATTGATAAATTCGGCCGGTCGATAATGCCGTTGTTAATTTTAAAGCGGACACGAATTGGTTTAATCGTGGAAAAAGCGAGCCGGATTCACGGGAGCGAATTGACAAACGATTTCGATCGAAGGGTCGCGAAGTCGTAATATTGTCTCGTTTTCGGGATGATGAAGCATTCGCGGTAAATGGCCTCGCCGCAATTTTGGTTAATGGTGAACATGACAACGCGATAAAGTACAGGTAAACTCTCTATATTTCAAGGAACCGTAACCCCCACACCCCCGGTTACAATAATAATGTGGTATCAGGAGGATGGTTATGGCGAGTAATATAACCGACATCGTTATATAAGGAAATTTCGATTTTGATATCTACCCCTAACTCTAGGTATTGGAAAATTCGGAGAATTGACGAACGAAAAGTGGAACGGAGGAAAAATGTTGCAAATGTTGTTAAAATGTTAAAAAGTCTCGCACTAAACACGATGGTATCCAGATGGTTCTTAGCCTGCTCGGTGCAATTAATACCGTCCCGTCTAATTAGTATAATATATTACCATCGTTCCGTTATAATCTCGTTTAAATTACTCAAGGCTTAGTAGGCACGTGAACAAAGGAACCGCTCCCCGATAATTTATAATTACCCGAATCCAGCCTCTCCCCTTTCTTCTTCGGTGGTTACTCCGTTTTATTCGCATTTAATGGATGCGCTAGCGCGGCAAACTTCCGGGGTTAACTTTTCTTTTAACGCGTTCCTACCCATCCTTGCTCTAATCTCGCCGACATTGCAAGGTTCAGCGTGTCCTGTAGGCGAGGCCAACTTTAATGCATCCGAAAAGGGTCAAACTTGGCCCTACTACTTCGCAGACCACTTTGCGCCTGTCCGCGAAACGCCACAGGACATTGCCACTCCCCCCCTCCTCCCTCTTCCTCCTCTTCATTCCCCTTCATTACGTCACATAGACCCAATTCCCCGTTGTACCGGTTTACCCTATCCCCAAGTCTTCGAATTCGAAACTCGAGCGCGATTCTCGATCGAGGGGTGAAAGTTTCGAA